ACCATTTAGAAGTATATTTCATTAGGTTTTGGTTTCTTTATGACCATTTAGAAGTATATTTCATTAGGTTTTGGTTTCTTTATAAACACTAAGAAGCGTATATAATTACAGAATCAAGGAAAGCAAAGACAATTTACATTTCACAATTTTTTTTATTACAATGATAAATGAAATACTTGTGAAATGTACAGTTGTCTGTGTTTTCCCCATGGAATTTCACCATGTATCTACAGTTTTGTGTATATATATATATATATTTAATTAGGTTTTGGTTTCTTTATGAACAGATAGTAGGACTGCTAAGAACAATGTCTTTCCTATCTGGGCCATCAGTGCTTAATGAGTTTCTTTTGGAAACTGTGAAAGACAAGTGAGTAGTTTTAATTTTCAGTACTTATTCAATTGTGAATTTTGTAAGGGTTGGATACTTCATTGAGGTAAGTAAGGTATTTAAAATTTTTACCTAAAGTATGAAATAACACTGTATCACTAGATAAATCTTAAAATATACACTGACGTGCAGATTGAAAACCGAAAATACTTAAAGTTACACAAAGTGTCCCATCTACACAGGATGAATTAAACACTGAACTCAGTTAGCTTATAATTTGTAGACTTAAATAAACAGGTAAATAAAGTATGTAGGCATAGATATGAGTTATTATTATATTTTAATTTAGAATTTGCTCTAATATGGACAATTTTAACTTTATAATTACATTATGTTTTGTTTATTATATGCAAGGTGAAAGTTTTGAAGTTCAGCACATTATATATCTCGCAAATTGCACGGCATAGGTCGGTTATTAACCCTACCGAGATGGGTCTGACAGGTCTTCCTATGGTCACAGGTCAAAGGCCATGTCATCACATTTGTAGACTTGCATTCAAAATTTTATTGAACTACTATTTTATGAATGTATATTAATTTCTTAATTTAAAATTAAATATTAAAAAAAAATCCTAAGTATCAATTTTTGTGTGTCGTGTGGTTTGTGGAATGCAGCACTGGTTCAGATTAGATGTTTGTGACATCCAAATACAAAAATCTATAGTTTCTTACAAATTAAGAACACAAATTACCGATATTGACAAGATCGAATATAAAATAAGAACCTCCTATATTTTGTATTTGGTGAGATATCGCTAGATTTAGTGAATCAAACATAATAGCCCTGCCCACCTCTTTCAATTTTTGGAAACGCTTACATACACCTACGTAAATAACCAATCAAAAGTTCAGAATGTCACCCATGTGATTCTCTGAGCATTTGCAAAATATATATTTATGTGGGAAACCCTTTCTTTTCATGGTAGATTCCAAGTAGTAAGGTAAGACATTATTGAGCTTGAAAAATTATATATTTTTTTAGACCCATATATATATAGGTCAATGAAATAAAAATAATAAATTTTTATGTATGTAAAATATTATGAGATTTAAGTTCTTTAGACTAAACATTTGTGGTTTTGTGTTATAATTTGTAGTAATTTTAGAATAAAGAAAACTTAAGTTATATAGATTTCCTTCTTTTATGTAGAATCAACCAAACCCATACAAAGATACAATAATGAAAATAACAGATAAAATATAATGTTTTTGTTTTTCTAAAATGACGTTTGATAATTATCTGGAGGTTATGGAGATTTCTCATGTGAAATTTGACAATTTTCTGATAAATAAAAGTATTTTCAATCTTAAAATCAAAATTACTTTGCACGTTGGATAGTGAATATTTGAAAATAATAATTGCACGAGGAAATAATTAATTAAAAAACATGAAAATTTAATTTAAAAAAGTGGAAATTTAATTAAAAATGTAATATTTTGCAAATAAAAGCCTTGTAAATATTTACTGGTAATCTGCAAAATTTCATGAAGATACGTTTACATTTTAAAAAGTTGCAGTATAACTGCTTTATGGTTACTTTCGGAACATGGGTTGGGTAGAATTTCATCCAGTGTTGTTGTTGTTGTTATTTTCCATTGCAATAAAATAAACCACATGATAGATGCATCAAATTGATGCACTCAGGGATTTTAGTAATCTTTCGAAGTTCCTACCTTTTACTCGATGTTTTAAAAGGTGATTACAAATAACTAGATTTAGCTCTGACTGTCCATCTGATGTTATGTAATGATACTGAATCCAATTTATGTTAAATGTACTATGCAGTAGTTGTTTCAGGAAAAATGATTGATTCATCAACTTGTAAAATAAGGCTAGTTTGCTGTCTTTCATCTTCGCTTGCAGCATTAATCTTAAGTTATAATCAGGTGCATGTGAAAACCTGATCCTACTGACATAATTGCAACAAAAAAATCTTGCTTAACACAACCATGTTACACTAGAACATGCAGTAAAGTGACTGCTGTGCATGAAAATGTGATACCTACCTGATAAATTGGAGAATCATTACTTGCTTGGTGTAATAAATAATGCAAAAAGGTATCTAGTTTTAAAAGAAAAAATTACTTACATGTTCAAGTTTTATTTCTATTTGCAGCTATAGCCACAACCTGAAAGACATGTTGTTGGAATTAGGTGAAGAACTCAATATCCCAATCTTTCCTGAAATTTACTCTCCAGAGAAGCCTCTTAACGACCAGTCCGAATTTCTGGGGGAAGATCTCTTTTCAGAGAAGTCCATTCCAGACTCTGTATCATCTGGTAGCACAGCCAGTGGGACCTCTAGACATAAAACAAGGTGAATTGGAAATGATACACATTTACGAAGACTGATGTTTTTGAACATCAGTATATTCACTAATACAGCATATCTTATTTCATGCTGTTGTAAGACATGGGCTCACTTTTAAAACTTCATTTATTGTTAAATAACTCCTTCACATGTCACTAATTTGTAAAATCTTAAACATACGTTGTTCCCACTGACTGAATCTTAGTTGTAGTTAAATAACACTCATAGAATGTCAGTTGCTTATAAATTGTTAATATAACTAATACATCCTTTAATCCACAATTATTTTATAAAACAAAGTTATTTTGTTACATGGGTTGATCACATTTATTTGGGTTGTCGTTATGACAACAGAATATATACTATAATAAATGTGGTTTAAAAGGTGTTCTACTTGTATTAAATATATGCCAGAAGATATATATGTGTAAACAAATTATTTTGTACAGTACTAGTGCTAGAACATTATTAGATATTTTGTAAACACTAGTACTGTACAAAATATCTAACAATTTTCTAACACTAGTACTGCTAGTACTGCATCAAATATCTAATAATGTTCTTTTTATACATTAAGTTGCATGACCAAGTTCTGTACAGAAACCTAGTATTATACATTAAGTTGCATGACCAGGTTCTGTACAGAAACCTAGTATTATACATTAAGTTGCATGACCAAGTTCTGTACAGAAACCTAGTTTTATACATTAAGTTGCATGACCAAGTTCTGTACAGAAACCTAGTTTTATACATTAAGTTGCATGACCAAGTTCTGTACAGAAACCTAGTTTTATACATTAAGTTGCATGACCAAGTTCTGTACAGAAACCTAGTTTTATACATTAAGTTGCATGACCAAGTTCTGTACAGAAACCTAGTATTATACATTAAGTTGCATGACCAAGTTCTGTACAGAAACCTAGTATTATACATTAAGTTGCATGACCAAGTTCTGTACAGAAACCTAGTTTTATACATTAAGTTGCATGACCAAGTTCAGTACAGAAACCTAGTATTATACATTAAGTTGCATGACCAAGTTCTGTACAGAAACCTAGTATTATACATTAAGTTGCATGACCAGGTTCTGTACAGAAACCTAGTTTTATACATTAAGGTGGGTGACCAAGTTCTGTACAGAAACTTAGTTTTATACATTAAGATGGGTGACAAGGTTTTTTAACATGTAAGTGTAAATTCAGTGCTTATAACTTTTTCTTTTTACACCAATTGGAAAGCAGTACCAGTCTGATGAGACACCCAAGCTTGGTGGATTTCAAGCAAACACGACAGATTGTTGTTAGCAAGTATGGGAAGAAAGAAAATTCGAGAAAGGTAAATTGCAGAGTTACTGATGTACTAGTCAGTTAACAAACACAGTAGCGTGTCTACTAGTCCAACAGTTGTGGAGTTATTACTGACATACTAGTCAGTTAACAAATACAGTAGCGTGTCTACTAGTCAAACAATTGCAGAGTTACTGATGTACTAGTCAGTTAACAAACACAGTAGCGTGTCTACTAGTCAAACAATTGTGGAGTTATTACTGATATACTTGTGAATAAACAAACACAGTAGCCTGTTTACTAGTCAAACAATTGTGGAGTTATTACTGACATACTAGTGAATAAACAAACACAGTAGCATGTCTACTAGTCAAACAATTGTGGAGTTATTACTGACATACTAGTGAATAAACAAACACAGTAGCGTGTCTACTAGTCAAACAATTGTGGAGTTATTACTGATGTACTAGTCAGTTAACAAACACAGTAGCGTGTCTACTAGTCAAACAATTGTGGAGTTATTACTGACATACTAGTGAATAAACAGACACAGTAGCCTGTTTACTAGTCCAACGGTTGTGGAGTTATTACTGACATACTAGTGAATAAACAGACACAGTAGCGTGTCTACTAGTCCAACGGTTGTGGATTATTACTGACATACTAGTGAATAAACAGACACAGTAGCCTGTTTACTAGTCCAACGGTTGTGGAGTTATTACTGACATACTAGTGAATAATCAGACACAGTAGCATGTCTACTAGTCCAACGGTTGTGGAGTTATTACTGACATACTAGTGAATAAACAAACACAGTAGCTTGTCTACTAGTCAAACAGTTGTGGAGTTATTACTGACATACTAGTGAATAAACAGACACAGTATCCTGTCTACTAGTCCAACAGTTGTGGAGTTATTACTGACATACTAGTGATTAAACAAACACAGTAGCTTGTCTACTAGTCAAACAGTTGTGGAGTTATTACTGACATACTAGTGAATAAACAGACACAATATCCTGTCTCAAGGCACAAAATAATTTTGGTGAATTTGATTATCAGTTAGCAAATATTGCTTAGCATATTTTTTAACGGTCATCATTTTAACACATTATGTCAACTAAATGCAGGTCTGAACTCTTTCTAAAGACGTCCACTGATGTAAAAGAGGTAAATGGTGTGTTTTATTGTAATAACACTTATTAAGCTTCAGACCCTAATATTTGATTGTACCATACATAGCATTTCATGAATAAAATAGTTACTGGTATGTAAAGGAAAACTTCAAACTGCAAGAATTACCAAACAGCTCAGCTGTCACAAAATAATGCAACAGTTGATTAACATGAGAAAGAAGTCACTTAGAGATATTCCAACTGAATAAGGTTGCCAAAAATCGTTTTTTAAATTTATCTAGTTTTTTGTTAAGACCTCATAACGTGGTTTCCTTGGCTTTTTGAAGAAAATCTCTAGTGACTTTTCACCTGTAATTACCACTCTTGCCTCTAGTCATGAGGTTTTTAGTGAATTACATTCAAAATTTAATTAAACTACTTTTTCCTATTTCATGTTCTACCAATTAGTATAGCATAAACTCATAGCTAATAATCCATATTTTAATAATATATAAGTTTTAAGTTCTTAATTTTATAAGACAATATTAAAAAAAGATCCTGAATTTCTCCTAGTGTCAGAAAGGTGACATTTTTTTCTCTAGGCATCCCCCCTCTTGTCTAATTTATTTACCAGCCCTCCAAAAAGTACGACATTTAACATAAATTACTTATCATAATATTTTCAATGCTCAGATAAAGCATAATTTTCATATCCTTCAATTTTGTTTGGTTACAGAGCCATCGATTAGAAAATCAGACCCCTCTTGCCACACCCACCTGTCACATCCTCTCTTTCAGGATTTGTCGATAGTTATCTCTTATGTTTAATGTTACATTATTTATAACCAATAAAAAGCTTAGGTTTTCATCTATCAAATTACATATTATATAACATTGTTTTCTGTACAGAATAATGTTGATTTTACTTTCAGTACAAGCTTCATTCCCACAAGAAATGCATCAGCTACTTGGATGAATTTGTAATAGCTATTGTCAATTTATTATAACACACTTGATATGATAAACTATTTATTATAACACACTTGATATGATAAACTATTTATTATAACACACTTGATATGATAAAGTATTTATTATAACACACTTGATAAACTATTTGTTATAATACACTTTATATGATAAACTATTTATTATAACACACTTTATATGATAAACTATTTATTATCACACACTTTACTATGTTTCGAACTATTTGTTTATCATATCAAGTGTGTGTGATAATAAATAGTTTATCATACCAAGTGTGTTATAATAAATTTTCTTCCTTCATTTGATTTACGTTCACACAGAAAACCAGAGACAAAAGGACAACAAAACCCTCTTCTAGAAGATTTTCACCCCGTGTTGCTGCTAGGAAGTCATCACCTCGTGTGCCTAAAGCTTCTCCAAAAAAAGAAGTAAAGCAAGTTTGTAGGAACTTGTTCAATACGGCAAAACAACACAGAAGAATTTCGTTTCCTGGTGGAAAATATGACCAAAAATGCCAAGTTACTACACCTCGAGGTGAGTCCAATGATGTTAAGCTGTTTAGGGTTAGAATGATGACATAAGAACTTGTACTTGAAAAGTTTGATTTAGTTTAATCAGTGTAGTTTTTAAATATCGTTTATTGAATGATTTGCTTTTACTATTTTTGAGTTTAATAATGTCTTATAATAACTATAACTTCCAGTTAAAGTAATAAACAAATTAACCTTGTTATGTAGTGTTTAACTTTATCATAATGATATACTGCCTCAGTCATTGGATGCTAATTTTTTAAGTGAATATTTCTATTAACTTTCTTAGGTAACCGTGTTTTAAAAACCAGCTTTGTTCCGGAGACACCTTCTCACAGACAAGGGCCACATGTAGTACTTAGAAAACAGGCACGTCTGCGAAGCTCAACACAAACACTCCTGAACACAGATGTTGTGGAGGAATCACCTGACAAAGTTTTGAAGGAAACTGGTTTGTATAAACAACTAATGAAAATAACTGTCAAATTGTTAAACCATCTTTATTTTGTTTTTCAAGAATTAAAGCCTGTTTATTGTTGTACGAAACTACAATAAAATAATTCATAACATGAAACAAATTTTAATTGGTTCTCTTTATGATAGAATGCTCATATGAGTAATAATCCTGAACATTTATTGAGTAAACTGTAATTGGCACAAGCTGGTTTGGAGGTGACATTATTTGATTTTTTTTTCTTTATGGTTAACCCTTTCCATACGGGTCATGGGTGAAAGGCCATGTCATCTCATTTGTTAACTCACATTCAAAATTTTATTGAACTACTATTTCATTAATTTATGTCAATAAGTTTGGTATCAAACTGTAGATTATAATTCAAATTTTAGAACTATACATTACTCAATTTGTTTATTTAAAAGTAAATATTAAAAAAACAGATAAACATAGATTTTTGTGTGTCACGTGGTATATTGAATGCAGCACTGGTTCAAATTAGATGCTTGTGAAGTCAAAATACTAAGTCTATAGTTTTATACGAAATAAAAACTCAAATTGACAAGCTAGAATGTAAAATAAGAACATCTTATCTTTTCTATTTGCTAAGATATTGCTCACGTAATAAACATCGTGGCACCCCGCTCACCTCCTTCCATTTTTGGAAATGCTCCTTTATAAACACTTACTTCTATATATAACCAATCAGAAGCTCATAATGTCCCCCTTGTGGTTTTCTAAGCTTTTCTAACATACCTAGTGTCATTTCTTTCTTTAAAATCAAGATTTCAATGAGGTAGGTTGTTTAGTCTGCTCGAAATTTCAAATTTTTTTAGACCCAAATACAGCTTAGTTACTATGTTTGATAAATTATAGTAGAATTCTGTAGTATTGATGTAGTAATTTATGATTTTTTAGTTCAAATGTATATATAAAACCTAAAAAAAATATTTTGTTTCACGTCCTTCTCGTGCAAAATTTTTAAAGGCTTAGCAACCTACATCAAGCAGTAACCAAGTACAAAGGTCATAACTAGAAGAGATAATTGTTTGCTTTACTTTTTTCGGTCAAATTTACTGAACCCGTACAGAGATTAATTACTGAAAATAACATATAAAGTTTCTTCTTAAGAAATGTTTGATAACTATTTGGACATTATAAAGATTTCACGTGTGAAATTTCGAAATTTTCTAATACATAAAAGTATTTTTAATGTTAATATGAAAATTACTTTGCATGATAGATAGGTAAGATGTGAAAAGAAAAAAAAGACATGAGAGAAAAATTGCTTTACAAACCTTAAGACTAAATAAAAAAAAAAAATTAGATATTTCGTGTATGAAAGCATTGTAATGTTTACTGCTAAACTGCCAGATTTCGTTAACATCCACTTACGAACTTAAAAGTTATAGCATGAAAACTATAACAAGCACAAAATTGTTACGAGGTCGATCCCGGGGAATGAGCACATGCTGAATGAGTTGATGTAATTTTTATGAGCATGTTATGCATATTACATTTATATATCTAATTGTACATTGTGCTTCTATTATTATATGGTTTTATTATTGTTTATTTTAAAGAAATTCCTCAATATTATATATCCTTAATTTTTTATTGTTTATTGGGGGGGAGGCTGATTTTTAGTCATTTTAGTTCTAAAAATCTTCTAAATTGTAAAGGCAAGTTATGAAGTCCAGCACTGTTATTCATATAAAATTATCATTTTTCAGAGCCATTACTTAATCAGAGAAGACCTTTCAAAGGATTAAGACGAAGCTGTTCGTTCTATGATACTGAAATGTCCAAATCTCGAAACATGGAGAAAGCTAATGCTCGCTTGTTAGCCCAACGTATTCGTGGCTGTAGTGACGTGAGCCCACATACTTTATTTTCAGAACTGTGGTCAAGTCCAAAGGTTTGCGTGACTTCTTTTAAAGACATTCACAAGATATCATCGAACCTCATGATCCATGGGGCTTCTTTGTCATATAACCATAAGACCCCAACTAGAAAGATGTCAACTTCCAGGACCCATGGGGCTTCTTCTTCATCAATCTTTAAAACTCCTAGTAGAAAATTGTCATCAGCCCCAAGTACCCATGAAGCTTCTTCTCCATCAACCCTTAAAACCCCTAGTAAGAAACTATCATCAGCCCCAAAAGCTCATGAAGCTTCTCCATCAATTCTTAAGACCCCTAGTAGGAAGCTGTCATCAACCTCAGGGACCCATGGAGCTTCTTCTCCATCAATCCTTAAAACCCCGAGTAAAAAGCTTTCATCAGCCCCAAGAACTCATGAGGCTTCTCCATCAATCCTTAAGACCCCTAGTAGGAAGCTGTCATTAGCCCCAATGACCCATGAAGCTTTGTCTCCATCAATCCTTAAAACCCCTAGTAAGAAGTTTTCATCAGCCCCAAGAACTCATGAGGCTTCTCCTTCAATCCTTAAGACCCCTAGTAGGAAGCTGTCATCAGCCCCAAGGAGCCATGGAGCTTCTTCTCCATCAATCCTTAAAACCCCTAGTAAGAAGCTTTCATCAGCCCCAAGAACTCATGAGGCTTCTCCATCAATCCTTAAGACCCCTAATAGGAAATTTTCATCAGCCTCAAGGATCCATGGAGCTTCTCCACCAATCCTGAATACCTCTCTTTCTCTTTTGGGTTCTCCTAGTCAAAACACACGTTCCAAAACCCCAGCTAAACAAAGTATCTCCTCTCAAAGAAATCCGCTCACGCCCACTTCCACAAAAAAAATACGAAGCAGAAATCTATTCCAGGATGGGGATTTGTGTGATGGTGGAATGCTGAGCCCATGTAGCAATGTCTCACCAGAAATAAAGAAAACCCTAAGAAGCTTTAGAGAAGGTAGATCTCTTAATTGTGATCAAAATAAAACCTGTGATAATGAGGTTCATTGGTCACCAAAGGTAATACTCACTCATCTTAATCACTTTCATAGTGACAAGCCCAGTTTGGAGAGAGAAGAAAATAAGTGTTCAGCTGATGATATTTTTACCTCTCTGTTAGAGGAGAACATTGATCCTGGATCTGGAGTAATAAATGAAAATGTGAAACAATGGACAATTAAAACAAATAATAAAGTACAAGAGAATCTGTCTTTGAAACTTCCACGGTTCACTAGGGGTAAATCTAAAGAAATGGGTGTGTCCTCTGACTTCTTTACTACTCTGACAACCAAGTCTCCACCATACCAACATCCAGTACTTGAAAGAAAAGGAGAGAGTAGTCCATCTGCTTACAAGACATCTCTCTCCTGTGTAGAAAAACTAGAGACTCAAATGTCAGAATCTGACGTATTTGGTTCGAGGAAACGCAGTAGCATAGATGAGTGTACTACAAAACCACTCCAGAAAAGACGGCGAACTGGAGACAGCTCCCGAATTAAATCAGAAGTAAGTTTATCAACATACAGTCTTAGTGGAGCTGGTCAGGAATTTGAATCTGATGAAGTGTTTCTTGTATCACCATTTAACAAAACAAGAGATCCTCCACAGAGCCTTGACAACAAAGGGGTAACTCCAAGACGCAACTCGAAGCAAAATTACACCCCACCATCAGCCCTGAGCCTCTTACATCTGACAACATCCCCTGTGGTCATGAGAGAGACTAACTCTATCTCTGTTTCTTTTGATTCTAAAAAAGACTATGAAGCCAACAAGTGTAGAGCAAGAAGATCACTGTGTAACAAACTCCAGAGATAAGACAAATTTAATGTTCTTATATAAACAAATCAACTTTTGGATCTATGATTATCTATAGGTTAAGATGTTTCTTGTTAAAGTATGTGAAATGTTCTCTATGACTCTGAGACACTATTTTAAGATAAAAGTAACTTTATGGTTTTATTTAGTACTGAAGCTTAAATTAACTTGTAAATAATTAATTGAATTACTTGTAAAACAAAATATGAATTGTATTTTAAGATCTATTGTTGAGATACCAGTGCCCATAAAGAGAAATGTTCGTTAAAGATGTCGACAAATAAGAAGTGTTTATAAAATTACACAAAGTACCAATACCCTGTAAGGTCTGTACTTGTAGGTAGAAGGATGTGTGTTTACTGTATATAATAAAACTATTTTATAAATCTAAGTCGTAAGGTTTGTGTAACCGTCATAACTCTTCCCCCATCGTTTATTTTAAAAGCCCATTTTCCTTTAAATGTCTCAAATGATAATTTGCATAGCTTCAAACTTGCATTTGTAAGGTAGAAAGCCTTTGAATTAGGGTTAAGGATTTACTTTTATTTTAAAATTATATCAGAAATGTATATGTGTTTGACTTTGTTCTATTTTAAATTCCAAGACAGTGGAATTGAAACTAGAATTCTTAAAATGAACGTTGAAAGCTAAGTGTTTAGAAATAGGAACATGCTGTTTTTAGCTTGAGTGCACGTTTTTCAGTGTGTTGGTTAATTGTTTTTCCATCCTTTCCATAAAGATTGTGTATTGTTACTGTAGTTATTACTTTAATGCAGGCAGTTTCAGATGTATTTGTTGTACTATTCAACTCGATGTTCTTAAAGCATATCATATATTGCAAAGTACTCACTAAACTTTCCTAGTCTGTGAACTTGGTAATATCTTATATTTTCTATAATAAAAGGTTCATTGGTTAACTTAAGTGAGCAGTACAAGTCTTGAAACATGTTAACTGTTTTTAAGTGACACGTGTTTAGTTACAATGTCATGAGAGCCGAAGGCCTAGCCTTAAATAGATATATTAAATCTTAATGAGTAAAAAAGTTTTTAGTACAGTTGTTATTCACATCATTTGTAAGTAGTTTTTAATGAAATGTATAAGTATTTTCACTATGTGGTAAACAGTTTTAGTACGTGTTAATAGAGGAATTAGTTACTGATGTGTATACAATCCTGGTTGGGTAGTATCATTACTGACGTTTTTGTTCAAGTCTTTTGGATATTCCAGTGAAATATATCTGTAAACAACATTAATTAAACTTGAAGAAAGAAATACAACATTGTTTGTAAAACAATGGAGGAAAAATGGATTGTTTAAAAATGTTGCTGGATGTGTATCTAGGTCAACAGTTTTATACTGAGTTTCCAAATGCTGTAAATACTATTACCACAAGACATGTAGTATGTTTATTATGTAATACATTTATCTTGGATTTTATTCTTTGTACAATTACATGTTATTTAACAACAGTAGTGACATTGCTATCCTTATGAAAGAAGTGAACAGAAGGAAAAAAGAGATCAGCTTTGATGATTTGTTTTGTTACAAATATTAGAGGTTCGTAAAGAAAACCTGATAGATATTTATTGCTGTATTCAGTCATGATTGTTCTAGTCCTGTTTCGTGGTGGATTACAAGGGTTGGAATTAGGTATCTACAAACAATATTTCACAACCAGTGAGGTAACGGGTTCATCATGCACAATGAGATCCAACCGTGGCTTCAAAGTAATATATATATTTCCAGCTTTGTTTACGTGATACACAGAAACAGAGACAATGTAATAGTTCCACAGACAAATAAGGAATTCTTAAAATATGTATTAATATCAAATGTATTTTTAATCTATATATAATTCCCCTCGTCTCCATTTTCAACATATTCATAATATTAATAATTTCGCAGATAATTGGATGCATAATTTAGTTGGTTCAAAATTATTGTTAGTCCCAACAAGCTTCTGACGAAGTATTTTCTGGTTTTATTAAATGTAGCTTAATCATTCGATGTGAGGAGAGGTCTGCATGTGTGGAATTATACACGGATGTTTCTCTACGTTAAAATACTTTTATTTGCGAGCTTTCGGTCTTCTTACCGGAGCCTTCATCAAGCGACAATGCACAAATAAAGAAATTTTAACGTAGAAAAAAGTGTATAATTCTACAAATTAATTTACCTACGTTTTGAGAGATCTGTATATTGTGCACAAAGTTACAGCAGTTTTACGCTTTTGTTCATTCTGTTTGAACTATCCGTTGCGATTTGACCCCTTTTTTTTCTGGAGTTAAACTTTATGTTAACGCTTAGTTAAGATAAAACATTGAGTGTGCTCATAACAGTGGAATAATTCAACGCCATCTATCTAACTACGATCGGAGATAGGCGGAACCAAAGCCGTGAAAAGAGAGATTAAATAATAAGTTCAACAATCGCCAAGTTTTATACATTTTTATTTAAAGAATGATGACGTTTAGAGCTAGCGGTCTACGTCAGATCATAGTTTACAACCCATGTATGATCTGACGATAAGGGCCAACCGGGTAACTGACACACCCCGACATGACGTCATTTTAGACCCATTTCGAATGAACAAACTTTCTTGACAGCAGACGACACGGTATGTAAACACAGCATTTTCTATGAAGGCACTTAAAAACGCATTTGTATCACGGAAAAATCCACGCTGTGGTGTTTCACTATCACAGAACTTCATTAAGAGGCTGACAAAAGTCACTTAACTCGCCTAATGTTATGCTATGCCTATAACGTTAACTTTAGGCTACGATGTCACGTCTTACTAATGTTTAAGTTGGTCTGAACTAGCCGAGGCCAAATTAAGGCCCTATAAATTACACAGAGTATATCAAGCTCTCGTTAATATACCGAAGAATGTTTACATATAATTAAGGCTTTAGCCTAAAGGGAAAATTTTGACCCCAAATGAATCAATGAAATGCCCAATCTTATATTATTAGGCCTAATGCTAGGCTAAACCATTTGTAAGCAAGTCTACGCTGCTGACTTAAAGGCTAATCCCACATATGCAGCGAACAATGTAGCTGTCAAATTTTGCATGCGTTGGTGATTTTGTAAAGTATTTTTCAATTTTAGGACTACTAAAAAGTCTTATTGCAAAGCTTAGCCTAACTTTCCTAAGGGTCTAACTCTAAGTAGCCTTAGGCTAAATGCTCCGGATCCGTAGACTATAGGCTACAGTTTCTTTCTTATTTGAACTTAGTAAAACTTGAAAAATGAAAATCATTGAAACTTCCAGTAACACTTGATTAAATATACTCAACAAAACATCAAACCTATTTGTCCAAGAAAAATAAAGCTCTATTCATCAATAATTAGCACACTAACAAACATAAAATCTTCACTGCTTTCCTCGCAAACACTGTACTTGTATACAGGTTTCCTCAATCTCGCGGAACCTGCTAACAGACTCCAGGCAGGACCTATCATGGCTTCCAATTTCAGTAATGGCGTCACAAATTGCCAGTTGGCCAAACTCTATATACAGCTCTGGGCGGAACATAATGGCTGAATTATTCGTATTAAGCCTATATGCTTAGATTTTTGACATTTCACGTTGTAATTCTGTCTCTGAGAAAGACATTCTACATGCTCTTCTCCCTGCTAGTGGAAAATTTCAGATTATTGCTTTTATTTGTTTTAAGCACAAATATCCACACAACAACCCATCTGTGCTCTGTCCACAATGGGCTTTTATATAATTCTTAGTCCAAAGTGAGTTCCATTTTTTTAACCATTCATTATTAAGTAAGATCTCACACTAGACTTTGAACTAGCGTTTTACAAAGTACGTATTTGTAATGTATTAATAATTAACCTTAGAAAACATAAATACGAGTCTGATAGAGCATATTTTGTAGGTGCACGTGTTCTGCGCGTTTCTTGCACCATTCAGATTATGCATGCTATGTGATATCAAAATGAGCCGTGACTTATATTTAATTATGTCTGTGACGGTGGTTGGTTTGGTTATTTGTGCCCACTTGTTACTGTCGCATGCATTTATTTTTGTACATGACAATCAGACATCGGCGTCTTTAACAAATTTTTAATTTTCCATAATCATATAGGTAACATTGTTCATAGCGGTTTTTGAAATGTCAGGTGTTAAGAGTTGATTTATGGGATGTTAGTCAGCGTTTTGAATATACAGAAAATATGCACACCAGCATTCTGAATAAAACAAATTTGCTTAAACTTGTAGAATATTGCATAAATATAGGATCTACAGATTATTTCCCAATTCTCTTCTGTTTTCATTTAACCTCACCGTCTGTTAAGGTTTAGACACTAGGCCTAAACGGTTTGGCTCCCTGTTACATTGAGACTTGAACCCAGGATCTGTAGCTAACAGGGCCACTGCTCTATCACCGAGTTATCAAAGAACAGAAGTCCCCCCCCCCCCTCGTCACTAATCAGTAATGAGGTTTCTAACTGTGAGTACGATTACCGTACTACGTTATGATCAGACACACAAAACTAAACACTTACTGTTAAATTCAGTTAGTAAACAATGAAAGCCCAATACAGTTGCTTAGATTTTACATGCAAAATGTGATAAAGAAACTTCAAGATTTGGACATTAAAAATAAAATTATCTGTCTCACCATCTCTCGAAAAGAGAACCATAATTAAATACACGATTGCGTGATATACCATAAGCTCGTAACGTATTGTTATTAATCGCCAACGTTAGAAACATCTGTTATTAGGATATAGTTTACAATATATTGTTAAAACAAAATAGCTATCCACGTCAGCAGAGATATTGTACATCCTTGATGCTATACCTTTACACTTAGCTGGTGAGCATGACATTTAGTGGTATTGTGTGTGTGCGTAAACTAATTAGATTATACATATTTTATTAATTTTTACAATTTGTTTATCTGGTCGTTACGAGATGGCAGCACACTACAATTTTTAAATATACAGTTCAACGAAGTCGTAACGAATGGAATTGCTACACGTTTTGAAAAGTATAATTTAATTTAAAAATAAATTTAACTGCAAATGTTTTTTCTCTAATTCCTGCTAGTTTGTCCATCGCGTCTCAAAATAAGAGGTGTGGAAAAATTGCATTTTAGATCTATCTGACTTTTGTCTCCCATAACTCACTGCTTTAGAAATATTTTGGTCATAGCAGTTGGGTTTAACAATGAGATTAAAAAAGAATCTGTAAAACGCTATTATCATAGTGAGAAAACAGTGCTGGCAGAACCAAACTTCCTGAATACACGCTGTTGACGGGACAAAAGAAGCCGTGCTGCTAAACTATGTTGATTAATGCCATTAATAATTATCAGCTCGACTCACTATAGTCAAATTATTATTGTCACTGGTAATACATGTGTTACATTTTAATTAAGATATGTCGTACAGTATTGGACGGGTTCTGAATTTTTCCCAGGAATTCGCCACCTAGTAGTAGAATGTACATGTTTCTCGGCAAAAGGAAAGCGTATACGTTTATAAGTAACCTCTTATTTTTGTATTTCAACCTTGAAATAAAAAAGTTTTACTCCAAAAGTAGCCCTAAAATAAACGTATTTTCCACCTGTGGATAAGCCTTATTTTATATATGTTATGAATGTTGTCCTAAGTACCATAACTTCATTACTATTGATTTCTTTGGCACATCAAACTTTAAGCCTTTAGAGGTGGTCAGTGTATGTATTAATAATTAGTGCGTTTCAGAAAGTTTTTAATGCGGTTTATTTCTTTATGAAAGAATAATTGCTTATAATCCTGTATGCATGATTAACAAATATCTTTATAAGTATTAATTTGAATTATCTCTTCCATTCACGTAACAAAGAAAGTATTATTTCTTGCAATCACGTAACAAAGAAAGCATCTATCTTCCCCTATCACGTAACACGGAGGGTATTATTTCTTCCAATCACGTAACAAAGAAAGTATTATTTCTTCCAATCACGTAACAAAGAAAGCATCTATCTTCCCCTATCACGTAACAAAGAGGGTATTATTTCTTCCAATCACGTAACAAAGAAAGCATCTATCTTCCCCTATCACATAACAAGGAGGGTATTATTTCTTCCAATCACGTAACAAAGAAAGCATCTATCTTCCCCTATCATGTAACAAGGAGGGTATTATTTCTTCCAATCACGTAACAAAGAAAGTATTATTTCTTCCAATCACGTAACAAAGAAAGCATCTATCTTCCCCTATCACGTAACAAGGAGGGTATTATTTCTTCCAATCACGTAACAAAGAACGTATTATTTCCTCCATTGTCAGAAATAAGTACGACATTTTATATAGACTAACACGGTAAAAGGTTCAGTTTAGGAGTCCTTTAATTTTAATGTCATATTCTTTTACCTTTAAGTTAGTCAGAAATTTAAATTATAAGAAAATAAAAATCTTTGTTTGAACTACTTACAGACACATTTGAATGATAATTTCTAATTAAAAGAAACTG